AAAGATGGAAAGGCAGGGGCTTAATCTCCCTGTTTCACTTTGCATTTTGCCCTTTCTTCTTGTTGCCTGCACATCACTCCCAACAGGTGGGGCGAAGAGGTTAGAGACAGAGGGTTGTGTGTCATCTTGCGAGGATTTTCAAGCTCCTCTCTGCAAGGAGGATGATCTGTGGGGACCTGTTGGCTGAGGGGCAGCCTTTCAGTTCAGAAGAAAGGAATTCAGAGCAAGCGTTTCATATTCTGGAGTTGGAATCCTGCAGAAACTTGGGAGGAGGGGAAAGTGATTGATGTCACAGTGGCCCCGAAGCCCAGACACACGACAAAGTCTTCCTTTGCCCTTCTCCTACCTAAAACACAAGACCTTTAAGTGTTTGGGGGCATGATATTTCAGAGGGGACAAAGCTCAGACTACAAATGCATCCTCCCTGTGGCTGTTCAGAATGTCCCTCCTACCTGAGTTGAGGAGGAGAGGGCAGACTAAGTACAAAAGTGACTCTCCATCCCAACCGATGCCTGTTTAAAGGTAAAGGGACCCCTGACCATTAGGTCCAGTAGTGGATGACTCTGGGGTTGCAGCGCTCATCTCGCTTTATTAGCCGAGGGAGCCGGCGTACAGCTTCCGGGTCATGTGGCCAGTATGACTAAGCTGCTTCTGGCGAACTAGAGCAGCGCACGGAAACGCCGTTTACTTTCCCGCCAGAGCAGTACCTATTTATCTACTTGCACTTTGACATGCTTTTGAACTGCTAGGTTGGCAGGAGCTGGGACTGAGCAACGGCAGCTCACCCCGTTGCAGGGATTCGAACTGCTGACCTTCTGATTGGCAAGCCCAAGAGGCTCAGTGGTTTAGACCACAGTGCAAATCAATGAGATTTGATGAGAGTGACTTAAGCCCTGCACATTGCCTTCTGTTTATCTAGCTCCTTTTGAATTATGGCTGGTTGTTGACCTTTGGCTCGGGGGATTACGATACTTCATCTGATTCCCATCACCAACGGTTTGCAGAAGGCGGGTGGCTCACAACCTCTTCTGCGTAACATTTTGCAGCTGGAAGAAAATGCCATTTTGACAAAAATCATTAGTTGCTTCTCCCGCCCACGGGAAGGGACGTAATTTAAGGAAACAAAACACTTATAGATCATCATGAGCATCATCATCCCTCCCTACCCATAAGGTCATAAGTTTATTGTTTTTCTAACCAAAGTCCACAAGAAATTTGTATTAGGCAATTTTGTTTTGGGCAAGTTTTGGGCGAAGACATACTGCTGTGTTAGCAGAACCAAAGTGACCTCCCTGTTGGAAATGTTTTGATGAGTATATGGCAAAATACTGCTCAAAAAAAGATACGCTAATATGCCTAGATTAAAATGCGAAGTACTGGATGGAAGAAAAATGAGTAAGGAAAGATAATAAGAATATATAGACGATTTGAGGAGACTGTAGAATGCAAAGATTATTGTAAATTGTATCATGTCGAGGAAATCGAGTGGGGTCCAGAGGAAAGCAGAGTAAGACGTTTGGAACCATCTTGGCCGCAGGAGTTACCCGAAGGAGATATACAAGACGCCACCCAACCACTTTAGGGACTACGCTCAGGATTTGTGTAGAGTTTACTCGTGAGACTTTTATTCTTCCAAGGATATCCCACAAGGCAGTGGAGGTTTCCTTCTCCTAGATGGGCTGCCTTCCCAGACTGATGGATCCCCATCAGTCTGTCTGTTAGGCAATAGTATTAATAAAATAATTCAGAACATACAGTGGTACCTTGGGTACCTGAAACTGTTCTTAACCTGAAGCACCACTTTAGCTAATGGGGCCTTTTGCTGCCACCGGGCTGCCGGAGCACGATTTCTGTTCCCATCCTGAAGCAAAGTTCTTAACCTGAAGCACTATTTCTGGGTTAGCGGAGTCTGTAACCTGAAGCGTATGTAACCCGAAGTATCACTGTACAGTCAAACCTCGACTCCCGAACGCCTCTGTTTTGGAACCTTCTGACTCCCGAAAGCTGAAAATCCAGAAGTAAATGCTCTGGTTTTTGAAGGTTTTTTGGAAGTTTTTTGAACGTCCGACGTGGCTTCCGCTTGAGTGCACGAAACTCCTGCAACCAATCGGAAGCCACACCTTGGTTTTCGAACATTTTGGAAGCCGGACGGGCTTCCGGAACAGATGACGTTCGACAACTGAGGTTTGACTGTATATCCATAATTGGGGAAAAACCCATAATATTAAAAAAATGCTTTGACAGGTTCCTGAGCATTAAAACGTGGTTTCCCTTCTGCATCTCTGGCAGTTCCAATTTCTGAAAATCCAATTTGCCAACATCCGCGATGTAAGAGAGACACAAACAAGCTGAAATCCAGCTTGATTTCACATTAAACCTCCGAATCACCACAACAATTTATAGCGATTTTATCTAACTCGTTTTTCCTGATTTCTTTTGCAGAGAGTGCATAGAGGGGCCTCTCTCTGTGTTACGGAAATATCATTGTCCCTTAAAAGAAACCGGACCGTGCCTGTTTGCTTGTGCGAACAAAGGTTTCAGAAAGCGATCTCTTGGGTCTCTATTTAGGGGGCAGGCTAGCAGATGATGAGTGATGCCTTCCTGCTGAGGTTGACCCCAAATACAAAGTCGGTCTGCATATGGGACCCCCCCCCACCCGTTCCCAAGTTTTAACACTTATATTTAACCTTGTTTTCATTTCATCAGTTGAATGAAATGCGAGTGGACATCCACAATATGAGAACATAAGCGGAGACTGCAGGATCAGGCCAGTGGTCCCTCCTGTGCTCACGGGGGCCAGCCGGAAGCCACAAAGGCAAACCCACAAGCAGGACCTGAGTGCGAGAGCTACTCTCCCCTCCTGCAGTTTCAAGCAACAGGCTTTCAGGAGCATTGCTGTTGTGCTGGGCCTGGGGGTAACCCGTGAAACGCAGTCCAGGTCTGGTCCAGAAACGAAGGTTCTGCTAGGAGTCAGTCTGGCAGGGCCAAGGCAGGAAACCAGGCAAGGACAGGTGCAGGATCTGGCATACAGCAATGTTGCTTCCACAACCTGGGGCGGGGTCCGACAGCCTTTTATCTCTGTCAGGGTATCGGCCAGTCCTGATTCCCCCGGCGACTCATCTCCCTGTTTCACCCAAAGGTGAGCACTCCTCCTGCGAGTACTCAGGTCTCTCCTTCTCTCAGACCTCAGTCTCTGCAGCTCGGGAGACGTTGGTGGGTTATTAGACCCAGGGGCCACCTCAGCCTCCCCTGACCCTACCTGTAGTGGAGCAGCAGCAAGTGATGGCCCAGCTGGAGGCAACGAGGTCATCCCCGCATCTGGAGCCAGGGCAGGCTCAAGCCCCTGACTCAGCTGGGGTTTGTTGCAGGGGAACCTGTGCAGACTGGGGCTCTTCAGGATCAGGCCCCAGACTTGGTTCAGATGATGCCTGAGTGAGGCAAAGGATCCAGTGCGGACTGAGACTCCTCTGGTTCCGAGTCCGAGCCCAAGTCCCAGGCCATGACAGCTGTCACTTACTGAGGAGGCTGAGCAGAGCCACCGTAACCTATACCAGGTTGGGAAGGCTGCACTAGAAACCTATAAAACCCCATATGACATAGAATCATAGAATTACAGAGCTGGAGGGGGCTCCCGAGGGTCATCTAGTCCAACCCTGGCAATGCAGAAATCTCAACTCAGTCATCCCTGATGGATGGCCATTCAATCTTTGCTTAAAAACCTCCAATGAAGAAGAGAATCATAGGATGTGGAAGGTACACTGGGGGTCATCTAGAGATGTTGGACAGTGGACTTGACTCCCCAGGAAGGTGGTGTACTGTCTTTCATGGGCGGTTTGTAACGAGAGACTGGATGGCCATTGCTTAAGCATTCTTCAGCTGTGATTCCTGCATTAGAACGGCTGGCCTAGATGACCCTTAGGGTCCCTTCCAACTTTCTATGCCAGATTTTTAGTGTACTTTCATGCACTCAAGCAGCTGAAATAAACTGAAAGGAAGCATTTAGCTATAGTCTGTACCATAATATATAGTCTGTCCCCTGTACTTTCTCCTAAATTCTTTTCCTTCAGTGTAGAAGGTTTTGAAGTTGAGTAACAAACCAATGCTTATTAAACAACAGTGTTGCTTTTCTTGTGTTGCTGTTTATTCCTCATTAGATCGCAGGAAGCTGAGGTTTTTGTTAGGTTGTGGGTGAGCATACCAGACAACACAGCGATTCTTCAAACAGCTCTTGTTTATTCACAGGCCAGAACAGAACTGAACTGAAGGGTTCAGCCAACCTGCTTATATAGAGCTCAAGTACAAAGCAACAGTAACAACTTTCTGTAACTATCCAATCACTGAACGTCACTTTCAATTCCTTATTTGCATATGTGGACCTGAGTGAAAACTAAACCTGGGCACCACAGTTCAAGAAGTACACTGACAAACTGGAACGTGTCCAGAGGAGGGCAACCAAAATGGTCAAAGGCCTGGAAACGATGCCTTATGAGGAACGGCTAAGGGAGCTGGGCATGTTTAGCCTGGAGAAGAGGAGGTTAAGGGGTGATATGATAGGCATGTTCAAATATATAAAAGGATGTCACATAGAGGAGGGAGAAAGGTTGTTTTCTGCTGCTCCAGAGAAGCGGACACGGAGCAATGGATCCAAACTACAAAAAAGAAGATTCCACCTAAACATGAGGAAGAACTTCCTGACAGTAAGAGCTGTTTGACAGTGGAATTTGCTGCCAAGGAGTGTGGTGGAGTCTCCTTCTTTGGAGGTCTTTAAGCAGAGGCTTGACAACCATATGTCAGGAGTGCTCTGATGGTGTTTCCTGCTTGGCAGGGGGTTGGACTCAATGGCCCTTGTGGTCTCTTCCAACTCTATGATTCTATGATTCTATGATTCTAAAACTATCTACAGTATCCCCCTGCTGGCCCAGGGTGAGAACTTCAGTACATAACAGGTTTTTTGCTTCCTTCCTCCTGTGTGAGATTTGTCCCTTCCTCTTTCTTCACAGATCACTACATGCAAGTCCTGGTGTGTCAACACGAGTGTGTGAGGGAGCTGGCGACGCGGCCCGGGAGACTCTCCCCCATCGACAACTTCCTTCCCCTCCATTACGACTTCTTGCAATTCGCCTATTACAGAGGTACAGCTTGGCTTTCTGGACTTCTTGCCTCAGTTCTGATGTTTCCCTGAGCGACGGGATGACCACCAAAAAACCCAAAGCTATCATGGGTCCAGGGAGTTATCTTGCTTGTGTTAAGCAATACTCATGTGGCTGGCGCCAAATCAGAGTAGATCAGAACCAGAATTTCCCTTGTCCCCAATGAAGATTACTGACTATTTCTGATGATGCCAATGTAGCTATATTTTCAGAAGAATTAGCCTTATGTATGATCTTGGCACCTCATATAGTAATTTCAACTCAATGAAAAACAGCCTCAAATCTTACAGTGGGCACTTGAGTACCACTCACTCTGGAATAGAGCTATAATGGAGAAAAGTAGGCATAAATTGATATTTCAACAAGGGCTAGAAACTCCAGTCTCTTATCATATGATTTGGCATTCCTTCATTACATACTCAACTGACAGTGTTGGTGGTCTTTACTTGGACTTTGTTATCTCTAATCTACTCATTCTATGTGTCTGTTTTATAGTTTCCCTTTCATCTTTTGATTTTCATCTGTTGTTACGTATCACTGTTCTCTCTGTTTTATATGCATTATGAAAAAACTTTGCAAAAACAAAACAAAACCCATAGAAATTTCCAACAACTGGCCATTTTTTTCCCACTTTTCACCCACATGGAAATTAGAAAGACCTCCACCTAAATCCTCATTCAAAAAACAACAACATAGATATACTTATTTGACAATGGATTTTGACAAGTTGTGCACGAGAGGAGAGCTTTCACTTTAGAACAAATCACGGTTCCTTGTTACGTACAAACTTAGGGGAGAACTGTGTATGTTTTACACTCTAGTTAGAAACGATTGTTTGATCCTGGCTTGCCTTAACTAATTTATTTAGAACAAACCACCGTTCACGGAGTTTGTACCCAACACTAAACTGTGGCTTGTTCTAAAGTGAAACCAGAAGACTTTGAGGTCCTAGTCCAGCTCTCTAACCACTGTACCACTGCTGGAAATAGGATGGGGAGGAACATGCCATCGCCTTAATTTGGTGTAGGGGCTTCTTGGACTCCTGAACTTCCAGCCTGTAGCTCAGACCTGCACAATTCATGAGAATGCGGCAGACCCGGTTGTCACAAATTCTGGCCTGCTAGGTGTTCCCTTCCATCACAACCATTTTTGCAGTTCCAGACATGCAGGAAAAATAAAAGAGAGTGGGACTGATACATTTTTTGTTTTTGCTTAAATCCCTTAAATCTTCTGCGGTTGCAGCAGCAAATTTCCCTGTCCAAAGCTCTCCTCAGAGGAGAAGGCAGCAAAGTTCAAGTGAAATTTCTGGCCAGTCTAAAGGGTTCTCCTTCACTCTTTCAGTGGGCGATTACGTCAAAGCTCTGGAGTGCACCAGGTCTTACCTCCTGTTCCATCCGGACGATGAAGACGTCTTGGACAACGAAAGCTACTATGAAGTCAACTTGGAAGGGTTTGTGGACTTGGCGAGCATCAAGCCTAGAGAGGTAAGAAGCCGATATGTGGAATCGGCCGCTGGCTGTCAGAAATCTCCTTTGCAGGTATACAAACCAAGTCAACACCGATGCTTCTTCAGCGCATCAGCTCTCCTTATATAAATGGCTATGCATATTCTTTCTAACCCTGCGGCCTCAATTCCACTGTTTCCCATGTCTTGAACTGTATATTGCAAACTCCTTGGGGGCAAGGACCTGTTCTCAGAGGTGGAGCTAGCTGCTCCGGCACTTGGAGTGGCACACATGCTGTGCATGTGCTGTGCACATGACGAGCATCCCAGGGGGCGAGACACCCATGGGAGGTGAAGCAAGCTGCCCATGGCAAGCTGCTTCCTGGGCGGTGGCGGTGGGGGAACCACTTTATCAGCCGCCTTCCTCCCTTCCCTCTTCCTTTTGACAGCTCGGGGGAGGCTCTCCCCCCCAGGAAGCAGCCTGGGAGTGGGGGGCAATGGCGCTCTGCCCCCCCCCCGTGACTCCCAAGCCTCCCCAGAGCTGTCAAAAAGAAGGGGGAGGGGGGAAGGCCACAGGCAAGGCAGCACAGCTCCGCCCCCTTCCCTGACGGCTCAGGGTAGGCTTGGGAGTGGCGGGCGGGTGGCACGCCAAATGTCACCCCCCTCAGTGAGGGCACCCGTGGCAGCCCGCCCCCACTGCCTCCTCCCTTCCTATGCCCCTGCCTGTTCTTTTGTACTCTGTAAAGGCTATTGAGTCATTTTGAAAGGTGATCTATTTATTCAGAGGCTTCAAAACCCCCCCCATGCCTATTGATCTGAAAAAGCCCAGTGGGAGCAGTTGCCCTCAACTCATCTTCCCCTGGGCTTGGTGAAGATTTGACGTTTCCATCCCCAAAAAGTTTTTGATTTGAGTTTCTACTGAAATGAGGCTGCATCTTAATGCTGTATTTTAATCTTGTTTTTATGTTGTATTTTAATCAATTGTTTTTATACAATTAGCCACCCTGAGCCCGGTGTTGGCTGGGGAGGGCGGGGTATAAATAGTTTATTATTATTATTATTATTATTATTATTATTATTTAAATAATGGGAAAAGAGGCTGGCTACTGAGTCCCTGAGATCAGCGCAGTTGCTGAATTTGTTTTCAAAGGAAGTTCTTCCTTTCACCTTGGCAGCAAAAAAAGAACTTCGTGGATTTATTTGAAAACAATGCTCTTATTAATTATCAATTATGAGAGCTCTTTCCGCAACCAGCCTGGTTTTAAGTCCTTCTCCTGGTTGTTTCAGGAAGCTGTGACATTCTTGAGGCGGCATAAGCTGGAATCGTACCTGTTGCGGACAGGAGCAGCTGGCCTGGGTTTCTTGTACACAGAGCCGGTAAGTGCAAGCGAGTGTGAGGCATGGACTTTCAGACACAAGAGGTTGAGATTTGGATTCGTACCAAGCCATGGCGCTTCCTGAAATGCCTTGATCAAGTCCCTTGGCGTGCCAGGCCGGGTTCTGCAGGAGATAAATCTAGACTTGCAGAGGCATTTTGCACACTGAAAGGAATGTTTGCCAGGTCACCTATGCAAAGAACATTGCTGGATCAGTCCCAGGGCCCTTCAGGTAAAGTATTTGCTTTCAGAGAATGCCCAGCCAAATGTCTCCCCAAACTCATAAGCTTGGCATTCTGAAAACAGCCACTCCCTTCTGAAATTCCCCCACCATCTCACGCTCAGAGTTTACATATATTGCCTCTGAACATGTAGGTTTCATTTAACAGGAAGAGCTGGCGGTTCACTGGGGCTCCAGGAATTTGCATAATCCCTCTTTAGAAACCTGTTTACTATGGGTGCTTTCAAACTGGACCGATTTACCACCACTGGAGTAATGCTTTCCTGAGAAGCAGAATTTAGAGTCCACCCAGGACTTAACACAGTGCTATAGTATCTAGCAGCGACCTTCCAAGGCCCTTCTGTAAGTTGAACTCACAAGTTTCAGCCAGAAAAGGGTCCCCTACAACTCTGATTATATGCTTCCCTTTTCCTGGAGTCTGCCCATATTGCGTCTTCCTGGCATCAACACACACACACACACACACACACACACACACACACACACAAATATATTTGTTTATAACCATTCCTTTTCCCTAATGGGGGACTCAAGGCATTCCCTAATGGGGGGCACATAAAGCCACTAAAAAAACCCTACACCTATGCCTAGAAACAGACCTGTAGCCAGGGCAGCTGTTCTTGCAAGGGTTCGGAAGCCAGTTGAAGTTTCTATGCTCTTTTCAAAGGCAGCCCCACGTAGAGTGCATTGCAGTAGTCCAGACAGGATGTGCCTTACTAAGGCATTACTGAGGCATAGCTTCTTAATTACTCCTAAATTACTCAGTTCCTATTTCCCGAGAGTGCTGCACCGGGTGGTGCTGTGGGTTAAACCACAGAGCCTAGGACTTGCCGATCAGAAAGTCGGCAGTTCAAATCCCTGTGACGGGGTGAGCTCCCGTTGCTCGGTCCCTGCTCCTGCCAACCTAGCAGTTCAAAAGCACATCAAGTGCAAGTAGATAAATAGGTACCACTCCAGCGGGAAGGTAAACGGCATTTCCGTGCGCTGCTCTGGTTTGCCAGAAGCGGCTTAGTCTTGCTGGCCACATGACCCGGAAGCTGCACGCCGGCTCCCTATGTCAATAAAGCGAGATGAGCGCCGCAACCCCAGAGTCGGTCACGACTGGACCTAATGGTCAGGGGTCCCTTTACCTTTAGGAATGATAGGATTTTGTCAGGGGACTGATCTGTAAATCTGGGAACTTGTCCCTGGGAAATGGGGACGTCTGGTATCCTTAATATAAACCAGCTTGTCAAATGAGATAATCCCCCCCCCCACTTAATATAACAAACCTTCATCTCGTTTCAGACGTACTGGAGCATCTCTGGGGCTCGGCAAGATGAGCACAGGTAGGCGGCCACATTCGAGATATGGATCCATGGGGAATACTCCGTACAAATGTGCCACCTTTTTTTATTCAAGCCACAGACACACACACACAGGAGACCTGGAGAATTTCTTGCCAGTCTTCAGAGAGCAGGAAATCTTCAATCCCCTTTTCACATGGAAGTTGTCATCCCTTGCATTGCAGGGCGTTGGAGGAGGTGGCCCTCGGCATCCCTTCCAACTCTACAATTCTCTCATTCAATGAAATAAAAATGTAGCCATGGGAAGAAGTGAAGAGTTCTGTGGTGAAGAACTGCCTTTTTGGGATTCCCTTTGCCTGGGAGATGGTTGCGTATTTCAAGGCCTGGGAGAAGAGGGCAAACAGTGATTCCCTTCAGGGGGTGACTGTGTGTGGCTGCCATTTTTGTGGCATGATATTTATCAATATGCGGGACGCGGGTGGCGCTGTGGGTAAAAGCCTCAGCGCCTAGGGCTTGCCGATTGAAAGGTCGGCGGTTCGAATCCCAGCGGCAGGGTGCGCTCCCGTTGCTCGGTCCCAGCGCCTGCCAACCTAGCAGTTCGAAAGCACCCCCGGGTGCAAGTAGATAAATAGGGACCGCTTACTGGCGGGAAGGTAAACGGCGTTTCCGTGTGCGGCTCTGGCTCGCCAGAGCAGCGATGTCACGCTGGCCACGTGACCCGGAAGTGTCTCCGGACAGCGCTGGCCCCCGGCCTCTTGAGTGAGATGGGCGCACAACCCCAGAGTCTGTCAAGACTGGCCCGTACCGGCAGGGGTACCTTTACCTTTACCTATTTATCAATATAGGCCAGAAGGAGCCTGGGTTTTGCTTTCCTCACTCTATCTGTCCTCCTTTTGCTGTGCTAAGGTTTAGTATTAAACAGAACACCATAGCTGAAGGAAGAGAGACATAGAGAGGAAAGCAAAACCCAGGCTCCTTCTGGCCTATATTTATAGTCAAATAGATGTTCCATGAACAGGAATGGTAGGAGCGGGATGTCACTGTCAAAGATCACTGAAATGGAAGCAGAAGGCCTTTCCACAGTCAATATCCTACAAACATGAGATGAAGGGTGCCCCAAAGGTTGCAATAGGGTGCTCCGAGCACAGCAGCAGACAGGACAGTTCTTCCAGAATAATGAACTGTTTCAATGATAAATCTTCATCAGCAAATTAATAGACCCCAAAGGTACATCAAATGGCCATGGATCAGCTATCACTAAAAGTGTAGTAAGCTGGTCAGTGTACAGTGGTACCTCTGGTTGCAAACGGGATCTGTTCCGGAGGCTCGTTCACAACATGAAAAGAGTGCAACCCACAGTGGCGCGTCTGTGCATGTGCGGGTTGTGATTTGCCGCTTCTGTGCATGCACGTGACGTCATTTTGCACTTCTGCACATGTGTGAGCGGTGAAACCCAGAAGTAACCCTTTCCGGTACTTCCGGGTCACCGCGGGACATAACCTGAAAGAAGTGGACGTAACATGAGGTATGACTGTAGTAAGGTGTGCTCGGAGTACCCTGTTGCGACATTCAGAGTGTTCTGTTTTGCAACACGGGGTTTTCTTTGGTCTGTATTTATAGTTAGCATGACCTTAATTGGAAGAGATAAGAGAATCAATTCAAACCAGCTTCCCAGAAGGTATAACCCAAACGACCATGACTCTTCTGCCTGCTTCTCTCACACAGAGAAGCTCCTAGTAGCTTCTAGAATCCTCTTGTATTAAGTAGAATAGAAAAGATCTCTACACGTCAGATCAATACTTTCTGCACTGAGAAATGCAAACTGACAGGTTCACCCATGAGGGTGGGCTCAGGCAGGCAGCTCAGGTGGCAAAACACCAGGGGGGGGGCGCAGCTGCGGGCACCCTTCCTCGCCTCCACCGCTGGTGCAGAAGCTGCAGGGGCGGCTTCCAGCAGGATCTTGCAAAATCTTGTAGTCTCCATGAGATCTTGCTGAAACCTGCCATTATCAACACTATGGGGAGGGGAGCCTTTGGGGGGTGTGTGTGCTGTGCTCGGGGGCAGCTCCTTCTCATTTTACCACCACTGCATGTCAGTGTTCAACGAATGCACCGCGGGGAATTGTCTCCTGCCTTTACTGCACACCCATAATTCCTTGTGACTTCTACTCCGCAGGATTCCTTCAGGGGTCCTGAGCGACAATGCAGACGGCTCTGGGAAGGCAGTAGGAAAGAAGACTGTGCCCAGACTGGACCGTGAGCTCAGGGAAGGTAAGATTCGGTCCACCGGCAGCTGCCGACCGCAGGAGAAACTTTGGCTAGAGCAAAGCAGCCGCAATCGGCTCCCTAGGAACTCACACCACTCGTGCTATGCCATGGTTTCCTTTATTGTTTCATTAAATTTATATGCCGCTCGATCATTGAAGAACCTCAAAGCAGGTTATGAAAGGAACGAAGCTGCAAAATTGTTGGTAAAAAAGGTTAAAATGCTCCAAAAGACTTAAAACCTGCAACAGACTAAAAACACACCAGCTTTCCAGATATCTGGGTCAGCTTGTCCAAAACCAAAATGTTCTAGCAGGCTCTGAAAAGTGCACCTGCCTGACGTCAATAGGCAGGGAGTTCCAAAGGTGCTATCACCATAGGAGCCAACTCCTAGGGGCAGAGGGGTCCAAAATATTTGAAGGGCTGCCCCCCCCCCAAGTTGATGGGTGTTGTCGTCAAATAGGATGTGTGTACTGTGTCATGTGATCAATTGTGTGGGGTGGGGCTTACCTACCCCCCTCCCCAATATTTTATTCAAGTTAGCACACTGGCCGCCACATTAAAAGATCAGTTTCTTACAGGTTTGGATTAGTGTAATGTAGTGTTGGGCACGGGTGGTGCTGTGGGTTAATCCACAGAGCCTAGGACTTGCCGATCAGAAGATCGGCGGTTCGAATCCCCACAATGGGGTGAGCTCCCGTTGCTCGGTCCCTGCTCCTGCCAACCTAGCAGTTCGAAAGCACGTCAATGTGCAAGTAGATAAATAGGTACCGCTCCGGCGGAAGGTAAAAGGCGTTTCCGTTCACTGCTCTGATTTGTCAGAAATGGCTTAGTCCTGCTGGCCACATGACCCGGAAGCTGTACGCCAGCTCCCTCAGCCAGTAAAGTGAGATGAGCGCTGCAACCCCAGAGTCGGTCACGGCTGGACCTAATGGTCAGGAGTCCCTTTATCTTTACCTTTAATGTAGTGTAATATAATATTATTATTATATTATATAGTGTAATGTGTGAATAAGACTTCTGAATGTTTGTGATCTCCCTTTATTGCGGTGCCTGGATAGAGCCCGTCTGCTACTTTGTAATGTAGATGAAGTCCACAGGAGCGGGAAACCCAAAGATTGCTCTTATCTTGCCATCTTCTGGTGCAATTCTGCTGTGACAGCAAAGCCAGTTTTGATAGAAATGTTCCGCAGCGTCATCCTCTTTATTCCTCCCCCTGCTTCCTATATCTCCCCCCTCCCTTGCAATTTTGCAAGCCTAGACAAATTGGGCATGATTTAGGGCTGTCCCACCTTCCTCCCATCTGGTTCGCTTTTTCGTTCCGGCATGCAAGGAGGCCAATCGTCTCCAAATGCCTGGCTTTCGTCTTCTCCTCTCGCAGATTTATTTTACTCTGTTTTATTTGGTTGCTATCAAACCGTCTGGTATGACGAGGCAACCGCTCCCCTTTGTGCGCCTGAGAAAAGGGCAAAGGCCTCTCTCTCTCTGACAATCGCAAATTTCCCTCCCGCAGAGTTTCCCGTGGCGCGTGGCTGATTTGCTAGATTGCACTCGGAGACCCCACCCAAGCTATGGAAAACACCCAATAACCAGCCATGGATTCCGCATGCGGTCAGAAAAACACAGGGCTGGTTCCTTTCCAGACACAGACCTGTTATTATGGACAATGATTGGAGGTTAACCAGCTGCGCTGAAGCCCATCTTGGCTCACGGCTGACCTCCCTTATGAGTTCTTCCTACTACTAGCAGAGCTGCCTGCTTTCCTTCCAGTGGCTTTGAGTGTAACGGAATGCCTTCCCTTTATATTGAAACGCTGAGTTGTATGGATGAGGAGGTTTTGCTCAGCTTGAATCAGTTTTCAGGAGCCCTTTGCAGCCCTGAAAGCCGTGGCAAAACCGACCAAGTGGAGCTGACCTGCTTAAGAACATAGGAAGAACCATAGAATCATGGAATCATGTTGTTGTTTAGTCGTTTAGTCGTGTCCGACTCTTCCTGACCCCCTGGACCACAGCACGCCAGGCACTCCTGTCTTCCACTGCCTCCCGCAGTTTGGTCAAACTCATGCTGGTAGCTTCCAGAACACTGTCCAACCATCTCGTCCTCTGTCATCCCCTTCTCCTTGTGCCCTCCATCTTTCCCAACATCAGGGTCTTTTCCAGGGAGTCTTCTCTTCTCATGAGGTGGCCAAAGTCTTGGAGCCTCAGCTTCACGATCTGTCCTTCCAGTGAGCACTCAGGGCTGATTTCCTTCAGAATGGAGAGGTTTGATCTTCTTGCAGTCCATGGGACTCTCAAGAGTCTCCTCCAGCACCAGAATTCAAAAGCATCCATTCTTCGGTGATCAGCCTTCTTTATGGTCCAGCTCTCACTTCCATACATCACTACTGGGAAAACCAGAGCTTTAATTATACGGGCTAGGGTTAGGCCCCAATACATGAGAGACCTTCCCCACCCCTATGGACCACCAGCATTTCAAAGTCTGATAGTCATTTGTGCCACCAGCGCCCCCTGCTGCCTCCTTGCCTCTTTGCCCCACGCTAGGGCACCCCACTGCGCTCCAGGGGTGCTGCAGTCCAATTTGCAAACCACTGGAGTCTCCTTCTTTGGAGGTCTTTAAGCAGAGACTTGACAACCATATGTCAGGAGTGCTCTGATGGTGTTTCCTGCTTGGCAGGGGGTTGGACTCGATGGCCCTTGTGGTCTCTTCCAACTCTATGATTCTATGATTCTATGATCTGAGAAGCAACACACTGTGTGCATAAGCAGGGCTTTACTTGTGAGGAGGCCTCTCTCAGGTTCATGGGAGCTGGCCGCTGAGAAGTGGCCACTGCCTCAGGGCCCCCACCCCTCCATACAAAGGCTTCTGTCCTCTTCCTCTTGCATCTGTGGGCATCTCTGGAATGTGGAAAAGCGCATTGCCAAGAATCCCTTGTGTGCATTGTGTGTGTGCATTTTGCAGATTGCATCCCACTCCATTGATACCCTGAACCATAGCAATACCCCACAACACTGCTGGGGAGGAAAGCCAACCCTATGTGAGAGTTTTGCCCAAGACCCCACATGACCTCATGGAAAGTTCTAGAGACCCATAGCGACACTGATGAGTATTTCAGGCCACGCTGGGTTCTTTGTCCAAATCTGCAACCCCTGCACAAAAGGCAACGCGGTTCAGCTAAAACAGAAGATGGTTTATACTGGCCAGGGTACAAAAAGTCCATTAGCTTTGTGTGTGTGTGTTCATCTCTGTGTGTGTGTGTCTGTGCGTGTTCTCTCCCTCCTGAAAGATTCCAGGCTGAGCATTTCAGGCAATGTGGACCCATCTGTTTTCTGAAAAGTCAGAGGGGAAAACAGAAAGCCCCAAAACTCTTCCCCCAGATTCCCATCCTGCTATTGCTGCCTCTGATCTTGGCTTCAGTTCCAGGTCCTCTACTCAACAATTTTGGCATAAAGTGATATTTTTCCCCCCAGGAAAAGCCTCTCCTCCAATATGCTGATTTAGCAGCCTTGTAAATAAATGCACAAAAGCCAGCTGGCTGCTGTTCTAATTGCCCTTGTTTTCTTTTTTAATTCTTTTGGGAAGGCTCTGTTGTGTAAGTATCCTTCCTCTCTGCCCCGTTTTCTGGACACAGAATCATAGAGCTGGACAGCAGAATCATAGAGCTGGACAGCAGAATCATAGAATCATAGGATTGTAGAACTGGAAGGGACCCTGTGGATCATCTGGTCCAACCCCCTGCAAGGCAGGAATCTCAGCTAAAGCATCCAGGACAGATGGTTATACAACCTCTGTTTACAGACCTCCAAGGAAGGAGAGTCCACCAACGCCCAAGGGAGTCTGTTCCACTGTCAAACAGCTCTTACTGCCAGAAAGTTCTTCCTAAGGTGTAGTCAAAATCTCCTTTCTCCTCATGTGAATCCATTGGTTCAGAGGTCCTACCCTCTGGAAAACCAGCTTGCTTTGTGATTTGTGTGGGATGTTATCCTCCAGAGTGAAGGCGATGAAGGTCCTGTGTGAGTGTCTGGAGGCGTTTGGACAGATTGAGGTTCAATCCTGACAAGACAGAAGTACTGTTTTCGGGGGTCAGGGGGCGGGCGGGTGTGGGGGATTCCCTGGTCCTGAATGGGGTAACTGTGCCCCTGAAGGACCAGGTGCGCAGCCTGGGAGTCATTCTGGACTCACAGCTGTCCATGGAGGTGCAGGTTAATTCTGTGTCCAGGGCGGCTGTCTACTATCTCCATCTGGTGCGCAGGCTGATACCCTCCCTTCCCACGGACTGTCTCGCCAGAGTGGTGCATGCTCTGGTTATCTCCCGCTTGGACTACTGCAACACACTCTATGTGGGGCTACATTTGAAGGTGACCCGGAAACTACAGCTAATCCAGAATGCGGCAGCTAGACTGGTAACTGGGAGTGGCTGCCGAGACCACATAACTCCAGTCTTGAAAGACCTACACTGGCTCCCAGTGTATAAGATATAAAAGTATGTTAATTTTAAAAATTTATTGTTGAAAATGATATGTTAAAAAACTAATAAAAATTTATATATATAAAAAGCTTGTTTTCACCTGCTCTGGAGGTGAGGATTTGAACCAACAACTTTAACTTACAAGAAAGGAGATTTCAACTAAACATCAGGAAGAACTTTTTGACCATAGGAGCTGTTTGACAGTGGAACAGTCTCCCTCGGGTGGTTGTGGACTCTCCTTCCTTGGAGGTTTTTGAGCAGAGGTTGGGCAGCTGTCTGTCAAGGTTTCCTTAGATGGGATTCATGCATTGCAAGGGGTCTAAACTAGATGACTCTTGCAGCCCCTTCCAAGCCTACAACTCTATTATCAGATTTAAGCTACGGTGAGAGCTTCATCCAACAACAATGCAACTCTGGTCCAGCCACAGCTGTGCTTGAGCCTCCTGCTGACTTTCACTGATGCTTTTTGTTATGTACTGAAGTTCTCACCCTGGGCCAGCAGGGGGATACTGTAGATAGTTTTCACTCAGGTCCACATATGCAAATAAGGGATCGAAAGTGACGTTCAGTGATTGGATAGTTACAGAAAATGGTTACTGTTGCGTTCTAGTGGAGCTCTATATAAGCAGGCTGGCTGATCCCTTCAGTTCAGTTGTGTTCTGGCCTGTGAATAAACAAGAGCTGTTTGAAGAATTGCTGTGTCGTCTGATATGTTCACCCACAACTTAACACTTTAGTGGGCTGATCCTCACCATGTGAAAAGCCTATCGTCGTCACCACCACCATCATCAAGTTCTGAAGTGTGTGATTCAGATCTTGGTCTGTTACTGAAAACTACAGGTGTTCTGGCATTGTTTGCAGAGGAGGAAAATTGCTCGGCTCAGTGATGGCTGAGAGCTCTGTATGAATCATAGAATGTTATTGTTGGAAGGGACCCATGGGGTCATCTAGTCCAACCGCCTGCCGTGCAGGAATCCCAAAAAAGGCATCCGAGTCAGTTGAATGGCTTATGGCCTTTGCCTTGCTCCTCTGCGTAAGCCGCTCCCAGCTAAGTATCTGAGGGTTGAGAGAAGCAAAAGCAAACTCCTCTTGCAAAGTGATTTTCCTTCTCTCGCGCTCTGTCTCTTCCCAGGTGGTCCCCTCCTCTTCAGCGATGTAAAATTTGTGTACAACTCAGAGCAGCTGAACGGGACTCAGAGGGTGCTGCTGGACAACGTGATCACAGAGGACGAGTGTCAGGAGTTGCACCGGGTCGCCAATGTGAGTAACCGGTGACTCAGGGTGCAAGAGAAGTTGGGGACATGCACAGGAATGCAAATTATTTCTGTTATGCTGTCCACAACTGGGGCATGGAGTGAGGATGTTTGTTGCCTTGGCTGCGACTGATGACTAAAAGTATCGTGGGGCTTTAAGGCTTGAAGATTTTTGCAGCAAAGCCAGCCTGCCCTAACCTAATGGTCTGCAGGTGTTTTGGCACCCAACGCCCACCTACCTTTGCCAAATGGTGTGGCAGCAGCTTTCTGAATATTTGCTGAAGAAATTGACGTACTGCCCAGTGTCAAAAGACCACTGGGCTGTGTAGAACAAAGGGATAAAATAACGGAACATCCATACATAGCACAATATGTAACCTGGGGAGAAAACAGCAAAGACCTGATGAAGAGAGCACAGCAGAGGTTATATTTTCTGAGAATCCTCCGGAAAAACAATCTCTCAAAGGACCTGTTGATGGCATTTTGCAGTTGTACTGTGGAGAGCGTATTAACTTATGGTCTGTGTGTGTGGTTTGGGAGCTGCACGGCCAGGGAAAAAACAATGCTGTCCAGGGTTGTAAAGACTGCGGAGAGAATAATTGGGTGCACTCTTCCCACCTTGGATCAAATCTATGCTTCCAGGTGCCATAAGAAAGCTGCAGAGATAGCGCAGGATAGTGCGCACCCCAGAAATGATCTCTTTCAGCTTCTGCCTTCTGGAAGACTAAGACTAGCCGCCTGAGAAACAGTTTCTATCCAAGTGCGATTTTGCTTTTAAACGCAGTGTAAGGAGTATGTTGTTGTTGTTTAGTCGTTTAGTCGTGTCCACCTCTTCGTGACCCCATGGACCAGAGCATGCCAGGCACTCCTATCTTCCACTGCTTCCCGCAGTTTGGTCAGACTGCGACCAAGGAGTATATTGTATTTAATTGTGGGGTATCAGAGTTTTTAGGGGGCTAACCAGGCTGGGATAGCTGGGATAGCAGGCTTGTTGGTTTTGAATGCCTTATGTAGATTTTTTCAATTTCGTTGTTCTGTATGGGACAAAGACAATAAAGATTATCGTATCGTATCGTATTGTATCGTAATATCCTTTTAAAAACCCAGTTGTATAAATGCAATTTCAATTGACAGTAATACCTCCAGCCCCCAGGGGGCAGCACTTCCCACTCTAGGAACCCCTGCCCTAGACATTCTGCAGCTTGCGCCCCATGGGAAAGGCTGGTTGCTCCCTACAGAATCTCCCATTCATCTCTCTGGGGTTTGCAATGACCTTCCAAGTGGATGGAATCCCTTGGTGTCATGCTTGAAGCTCGGAAGCTGGAAAGTCCAATGTTACGTCAACATAATGGGATAATCCTGATATCCTTTTTCTGTTTCAGGGAATTCTGCTGGCTGGAGATGGGTACCGGGGGAAGACGTCACCCCACACACCCAACGAGAAGTTCGAAGGGGCCACCGTCCTCAAAGCTCTCAAGGTACGAGGGTTGCTGCTCAACTTGGACTCTCTTCTTACCTGAGATCTCAGGATTCCGCTTTTAGCTTCTGATCCAACCCCAGTGGCATAATAATAATTCAATAATTCAACAATTCAACAATTTAACAATTTAACAATTTAACAATTTAACAATTTAACAATTTAACAATTTAACAATTTAACAATTTAACAATTTAACAATTTAACAATTTAACAATTTAACAATTTAACAATTTAACAATTTAACAATTTAATTAATAATTTAGTAATTTAATAATTTAGTAATTTAATAATTGTGCCCTGCCCACCTGGCTGGGTTTCCCCAGCCACTCTGGGTGGCTTCCAACAAAGATTATGGTTTAGGGCAGGAGCAGAGAAGCAGAGGTCTATGGCGCAACCCCATTCGGAATGCTGTGCACAGTTCTGGTTGGCTCGCCTCGAAAAGGATACGATAGACTTGGAAAAGGTTCAGAGAAGGGCAGCTGAAATGGCTGAGGGAATGGAGTGAAGAAATAATAATATAATAACAATAATTTATTACTTATACCCCACCCATCTGGCCGGGACTCCCCAGCCACTCTGGGCGGCTCCCAACAGAATATTAAAAACACTGTAAAACATTAAACATTAAAAACTCCCCTAAACAGGGCTGCCTTCAGATGTCTTCTAAAAATCAGGTAGTTGTTTATTTCCTTGACATCTGATGGGAAGGCATTCCACAGGGTGGGCACCACCACCGAGAAGGCCCTCTGCCTGGTTCCCTGTAACCTCACTTCTTGCAGGGAGGGAGCTGCCAGAAGGCCCTCGGAGCTGGACCTCAGCGCTGGCGTGAAGAAATGTTGCAGTGTTTGGGACATTTCAGTTTAGAGGAAAGGTGAATAAGGGCACATTTCCACTTGTCCTATGCCTAGAATGAATGGGTCTGAGAGGCTTTGCATTTGCCCTGCAGCTTTCCCCGGAGAAACCCATTCTCTAGCGTCAAATCAGAGCAAACAGCAATCCGCATAAAACCCAATTTCCATTTGGTCCGATTCAGCGGTAAACCACAAGTTTCCCCAAGGAAAAGTGGTGAGGCAAACAGAAGCTGCCCACGGAGGTCATTTGACCAGCCCACGAGCCGCCCTCAAACTGAGCTGCCCACTCACATGGTGCACTAAAGCAGCACGGCATGGGGACTCCCTTCCGTGGTGCCAAAAATCGCATCTGCGCAGACTTCGAAAATTGTGGGCTCACGCACATGCGCAATCTAGCCCACAGAGGAATCTCTGAGGGACCGATCCGGCCCAGGCAAGATAAACCTTGTTGACCCCTGTGATAGCACTTTAAGAAACTGTGCATGGCACAGAGAGAGTGGATAGGGAGAAGTTTTCCTCCCTCTCTCTGAACACTAGAACTCGTGCACATCCAACGAAACTGACCGTTGGAAAACGCAGGGTCGATAAAAGGAAAGTTCTTCTTCAAGAGCAGCACAGAGTTAAACAACAGAACTCCCTGCCACAGTGACGGCCACCAACCGGGATGGCTTAAATTGAGGATCAGATGGATCCATGGAGGAGAGGTGTCAGGGAATGGTCTGATGACGAGGACTGAGGAATGAATGAATTTTATTATTACGGTCACAGACCAGTTCCAGCTCACTTACAATATCAGGCAAATCATAAAACACAACAGGAATATTGAATTGCAATTAGTTATAACAGAGACAATTCAGATAGAGCGGCAGTTAAAAATATATATGAAATCTTGATCACTAAAATATAACCTAAAATTGTCATTTAAAACCTTAATCATTTGGTAGTACAGCTTGTTCCCTAAGTTTTATGGCAGTCGCACAGAATGCATTCTATGGCAGACCAGCTTCTCTCTGATGGAGAGCTGGAGGGGGAAGAGTCCCCCCCCCCCGTCCATAGTGTGTTCAGAAGTAGAGAGAGAGACAGAAGCTGAACAGGTTAGGGAGGAATTACCTAGTTGCGATATAATGACAAGGGAGCCAAAAGGGAGGGGACAGCTAGAAGAGACATCAATTGAGAGTGTGGGGAACCTCCCCCATCACAATGGACTTGGAGGTCCGGACGTATCAGAGAGCAAAGGAGGCAGAGGGAGGGAGGAACTCCCTGTTGGTGCCTAAAATGCTGCAGATGTCGGAAGGAGGGTTTAGAGTAGGCAACTGCCCTCCTTGCGGAGAGCTGTATATTTGTGCTTGCAACATGATGCTGCAATAAAAGGTCTATAAACATATCAACTGCTTTTTAGTTCTTACCTGTGAAGCTACCAAAGGGAGAGGAGGACTCTCCGCGCCTTACAAGGGCGCTGTCAGTGGCTCCTAGGCAGGATGGAGACAGTGATGCTTCTGAACACCAGTTATTGGCAACCACAAGGAGGAGGGAAAGTGCTTTTGTGTTCAAAACTTCCCTTGGGTTTCTTGCGGGGAACTGGTTGACCCCTGGTTGGGAACGGGATGCTGGGAGAGGTAGGGCCTTGGCCTGATCCCGCAAGGCTCTTCTTGTGTTCTGATGTAGGAGACGCCCCATAGAGGCAAGAGGCGGTTAATCATGAGCAACATGGCTTTGTTTCCCCCAAACACCTACCAGCTACTTCTTCTTGAGTTAACCAATAGAGGCTAGTGGCACAGGGCACCAGGGCGCCAAGTTTTGGAGGGTGCCAGGGAAGAGGCAGAGGCTGGATGTGGCGCCTCCTGCAATCAGCTTGCCACCCTCGCCCACCTACGCCATGCTGCGCTGAAGCAGCACTGCGCCTAGAGCCTCCATCTGCCGTGGCCACCACGGCACAGAGCATCCAGCTGGTGCCGCATCCAGCCTCTGCCTCGTTCCCGCCGGAGGAGGAGCCGCCCTCCAGCTGCTGCCCGCCTCCAGCCCTGCTGGCAGTGCCGTCCTCCCTAAAAAAAGGTCGACAACTCTGGGAAACCAGAGTCTGAGTGTGCACCAGAGGGAGCTTTGCATCATGGCGTCAGATATGCTTAAGACGGCCCTGAGGAGAAGCTCTCCACATCCTTGGTTGAAGGTGGGCTGGATTTGGAACTGAAGGAACAATTGCACTCTGGTTTGCCCTCAGTTCGGCTACGAGGGGAGAGTTCCCCTGGGGAGCGCCCGCCTCTTCTACGATGTCAGCGAGAAAGCCCGCAGGATCGTGGAGTCGTACTTCAGGCTCAATTCCACCCTCTATTTCTCCTACACGCACCTGGTGTGCCGGACGGCTCTGTCAGGTAAGACCCGCCTCAAAAAACTTTCCAGTCTGCCAAACCTCACTCCTGCATGCTGTTCAGAGATGTCGATTGAATTACGTTACTTAGAATGCAGAATTGCAGAATTATCCATGGTAGAGGCATTCTTCGGGCTCGAAGGAGGTCGCCTCCTCACTATAGGTTTATGTGGCTCCCCCCCAATAATTTGCTGATTCTTGTTTGCTGGGATTTGTAAGCCATTTGGAGATTTCTGTGGAGATATGAAGCACTGTGAGCATTCACTAAGCAAATGAAATAAATGAACTTGGAGGGAATCTGTGCTTTGTGAAACGACATGTAAAGCAAAACACAGCTGTCCTCTGAAATCCTCCAGAAGAATGTGAATACAATTCTCTAGGTAAATAAGGCGAACAGAATTGTGTGTATTAAGGGAAAGCTTGCATAACAATGCATACATTACTGAAAATATGGCCAGCCATGACTCAGTAGTTTGCACAGCAACAATGAAATACCTGTATTTTTTTGCTCCATAGGACGCACTGGCTATGGCAATACCCCCACCTCCCGCAAAAGTCCACAGGAGCCGTGCACCCTTTAAGGAGCGTGCGGCTTCTGTGGGCTTTTCTACGAGGAGGGAGAAGGGACTGACTGGCTGCGTCCCTTCTCCCTCCTGAGGAAAAGCCCGCAAGAGCTGCGCGGAGCTTGTGTGCGGCTTTTGGGGGCTTTTCCTGCCTGCCTCCCCCCTGCATTCGCTCCATAGGACGCACACACATTTCCCCTTCATTTTTGGAGGGGGAAAAGTGTGTCCTATAGAGCGAAAAATACGGTAATCTGTTGCCGTTTATTTAGTGAGACCTGGGATGAAATGAGAGATTGCCAGCAAGGCTGAACCTCCCTTTTCTCTGCAGGCCACCAGGAGCGGAGGAATGACCTCAGCCACCCTATCCATGCTGACAATTGCCTCCTGGACCCAGAAGCCAATGAGTGTTGGAAAGAGCCCCCCGCTTATACCTTCCGAGATTACAGGTAGGGTTGGGAACCCGCAATTTCCATTGGAAATTCTCTGTATATGAAAAAATATATACACCGTCTAAGCCATTCATGCACTCCCCAACCACTTTCTGCCACCCCGTCACCTAATAATAATAATAATTTATTATTTATACCCCGCCCATCTGGCTGGGTTTCCCCAGCCACTCTGGGTGGCTTCCAACAAAAGATTAAAAATACATTAAAACATCAAACCTTTAAAACTTCCCTAAACAGGGCTGCCTTCAGATGTCTTCTAAACTTCAGATAGTTGTTTATTTCCTTGACATCTGGTGGGAGGGCGTTCCACAGGGCAGGCACCACCACCGAGAAGGCCCTCTGCCTGGTTCCCTGTAACTTTGCTTATCACAGCGAGGGAACTGCCAGAAGACCCTCAGAGCTGGACCTTAGTGTCCGGGCAGAACGATGGGGGTGGAGATGCTCCTTCAGGTATACTGGGCCTTTGAGGCCGTTTAGGGCTTTTAAGGTCAGCACCAACACCAATATCTTACTCCAACCAAGTCCTTGAAATGTCATCATCATCATCATCATCAATCTTTATTACGGTACAGAGACCCAACAAATCGTTACAAAGCAATACACAATTCATACAGCCTACCTCCAGGTTAAACAAGCATTTTGTTCAGAATATAGGGATCATTGGTTCTTGCAACCACCGATAAAAACTTTGCCATTGCTAATGTTCTAGCATTTGTCCGGTCTTCCAGTAGAAACCTGAAAGACTGGACAAACGCTAGAACATTGAAATGTTGCTTTAGTCAGCAAATTTTTACTGTACATGCAGAACCCGCCTTGTGCCTTCTCTGGAGATGTTTTTTTACTTTAACAGTCAGTGTTCCTCCTAAACCGTTTCTTACCAGTTTTGTGGTTAGACGGCACTTTTCCAGACACAACGGGGACCACCCTGATAATGAGACAAACAGAAATTCCACTTCTGGCGCTATGAGAGGGACTTTCTTCAGAGCAGGTCGGGACCAGGCTCCCTCCGCTGAGTCTAACCTTCCCGCTTTCTCTCCTGCTAGTGCTCTCCTGTACATGAACAGCGATTTCGAAGGGGGCGAATTTATCTTCACCGAGATGGATGCCAAGACTGTGACGGTGAGCATCACCACCATCAATATTTTATTTGCATGCCGCCTTGCCATAGTTAAAACTATGCTCAAGGCGGCTTACAACATGGCAAGATTTACATAATTACAAACATAACAGAAGTCATAAACAATAAAAAAACACATCAAAAAGCACACAACCAAATGGAAACAACTTCCATGCAAATCATAAGATCTAAAACTAAAGATACAACAATAATATCAATAACAGCAACAGCTCTCTCAACCCCCAGGAAACAATACTCCACCCCCAGAATCTGTCGAAATGTTGGACCCGTTTCATATCAGCTGTTGGGTCCCCGGAGCACAGATTCACACAAAGTGGCAAACGTCCTTGCAGGGTATAACAGGGTTTATTTGAAATGCATATGCAAAGCAGAGGTGCAGCGCAACCATCTCGCAATCTGCACGACCCAATCAGGGTGCGCCCACTTTTTATAGACTATACAAAAAACCCCCAGAGAGTGAGACTTTACATTCTTATCCAATCAGGCTCTAACATTCCATGTTTCTCCTTTTGAAGGTTAACACTTCTTAATTTACTCATTCTTTGTTTGTCTGCCTGCTACGGCCTTGCCTGTCTTGTCTGCCTGCTATGTCTTGTAACAGTTGCTTTGATAACAGCATGCTGGGATTTCTATTTCTGAGGCCCTTCACAACAGCCTCAGGTTTTGTAGCTGGAGTCAGTCCGCATTCCACCATCCCAGGTCAGGTGGGAAAGGGCCAGCAAGGCAGAGGCCTCCGAACGAGCTCAGGGGGAGATTGCCAAGGGAGCATTGTGGAAGAGCTCTGTGCCAGATGCTAACCATAGGTTGCTCCCCTACCACGAAAGGCAACAGTATTTGGGGCTTTGGGGTTTTAGGGGAAGTGGTGCAAGGGGACAGAGGCACATAAGATTATGCATGGAGCAGATAAGAGCTTTCCAAACATGCTTTTTAGACATGCATGGTTTCACGACACAGTACAGTGGTACCTCGGGTTACAGACGCTTCAGGTTACAGACTCCGCTAACCCAGAAATAGTGCTTCAGGTTAAGAACTTTGCTTCAGGATGAGAACAGAAATCGTGCTGCAGCGGCACGGCAGCAACAGGAGACCCCATTAGCTAAAGTGGTGCTTCAGGTTAAGAACAGTTTCAGGTTAAGAACAGACCTCTGGAATGAATTAAGTACTTAACCTGAGGTTCCACTGTAATTCAGTTTTGCTATCAAACCAGAGGCTGAACTAACCCCTTTCCAGGGAGGAGTGTGGGGAACGTTCGCATGACAAACTCGCAGCCGACACATTGATGTGTCTCGACACACAGTTGGGCAAGCTCTGGCGTAGAGGGATTACAGAGAGAGGAGGTCTTCCTCCCTCTCTTGTAAAACTCAAACCCAGTGGGGATCCTCCAACGCACCTGAAAGGTGGGGGATTCAAGACAGACGAAAGGAAGTTCTTATTTGCAGTGTTAAACTGTGAAATGCCCAGCTGCAAGATGTAGAGGGGGGGGGTGGCCACCTATTTGAATGACTTTTTTAATATATATAATAATTTTTTATTAGTTTTTTAAAATATATTATTTCCAACAGTAATTAAACATACTTTTACATCTTATACAATTTTTTGACTTCCATCAATCACATCTGAAAAATTTCCAGTCTATTCACTTAATATACATTTCTTCACTATTACATTTAAGTCTCATAACTAACATCTCTATTCCCTTCTCTACTTTGCAATGTTTCAGATATTTCTCCTTACAAAACTTCTTGTAGTCCTACTAGCATAACTTGTTGATTACAGTTGCTCTTCAAATAGTTTGTATATTTCTTCCAATCTTCTGTAAATCTCTGGTTCCCGCAGGTTTCTAATCCTTCCTGTCATTTTACCTAATTCTGCGTAGTCCATTAATTTTATCTGCCATTTTTCTTTCGCTATTTGCATGGCTTTAAAAAGGGATTAGTCCCCAGAGAATAAGGCCAATGGTGACTATAATAATAATAATAACAATTTATTATTTATACCCCGCCCATCTGGCTGGGTTTCCCCAGCCACTCTGGGCGGCTTCCAACAAAAGATTAAAAAATACATTAAAACATCAAACATTAAAAACTTCCCTAAACAGGGCTGCCTTTAGATGTCTTCTAAAAGTCAAATAGTTGTTTATTTCTTTGACATCTGGTGGGAGGGTGTTCCACAGGGCAGGCGCCACCACTGAGAAGGCCCTCTGCCTGGTTCCCTGTAACCTCGCTTCTCGCAGGGAGAGAACTGCCAGAAGGCCCTCGGAGCTGGACCCCAGTGTCTGGGCTGAACGATGGGGGTGAAGACGCTCCTTCAGGTCTACTGATCCGAGGCCGTTTAGGGCTTGAAAGGTCAGCACCAACACTTTGAATTGTGCTCGGAAATGTACTGGGAGCCAGTGTAGGTCTTTCAAGACCAGTGTTATGTGGTCTTGGCGTCTACTAGTCAGGACAGTCATATGCCGACTCCAGAATCAGAGGCTCCTGATTCCAAACCCTTGGGAAGAGAAAGAGGAATGTCCGCTAACATTTCCTGCCCTTTCTCTGCTTCCCAGGCCTCCATCAAACCCAAATGTGGGACGCATGATCAGCTTTTCATCTGGTGGGGAGAATCCTCATGGAGTGAAGGCTGTGACCAAAGGCCAGCGGTGTGCGGTTGCCTTGTGGTTCACCCTCAACCCTCTCTACCGGGAACTGGTGAGTTTTTCGTTATCACGTTTACATGGGAGAAGAGAGCCTGCAGGATCTCTCTCAGAAAGGTCGTCCAATGAATCCGGATGGAAAGGAGAGAACTGTCAGACCCACGCTGATGCTAGTATGCCAGCAATTTATTTCACTATCTTCATTTTCCTCTTTTTTTAAATAGGCACAAATCTGCTGCAAAGATACTGCCCTGGCTTAGGTACAATGCCTCTCCTATTATCCAAAGGGAATTAGCAGAAAGGTCTTCGACTGGTTCCTATCCCAAGCCAATTTTTTCCTTGATTTTCTTTTTTTATCTTTATCCTTTCTCCCTTACAATCAAGATGTGTGTCCATTTTATGAAATAAATGAATAAATGTTGCACACACAATATTCAGCTGCTGGTTTTGATCTGCAAACCTTTTCAAAAACTGATCCATGACATAATGGAAACCAAGTTTATTACTGCAGTACTGTCAAATCCAGCTAGTATTTGATAGGGCATCACTTAGATGTTTTTCTTTGGTGATCCCTCCTAGCCGAGTAAGATAGTCTTCCATAAACATGGTGGTAATAATAATAATAATAATAATAATAATAATAATAATAATAATAACAACAACAACAACAATAATAATTTATCTGTACCCCGCCCATCTCCAACAAAGATTAAAAATACATTAAAATGTCACTCATTAATTACTTCCCTAAACAATGAGTCCATAAGTGACCGTGGAGGCCAATTCTGGATCCACACATCCTTTCACAGTGGGGACATTGGTTTCCGGGCGGGAGTTGATCACAGTGTGGATTTGCCAAGTGTGCCTTCCTCTTAGCACGTTTCTCCCTTGGGCCCTGAGTTCGAGTGTCTTCAAAGCCCATGGCACCTTTGGTAAAGGCTGTTCTCCAATTGGAGCGCTTACAGGCCAGTGTTTCCCAGTTGTCGGTGTTTATACTACATTTTTAAAAAGATTTGCCTTGAGACAGTCTTTGAACCTCTTTTGTTGACCACCAGCATTACGCTTTCCATTTCTAAATTCGGAATAGAGTAGTTGCTTCGGAAGACAATCATCAGGCATCCGCACAACATGACCAATCCAACGAAGTTCACTTAGATTAGGGTATTGCTGACACCTGGTGGTCTGTTTGTAGAATTAACCTGGGACACATCTCCCGAAATGTACTTCACTATATAGCTTTCTTTTGAAAGAAAATGGAATAGGGAGTTGTGGACCAACACACAACTTGATGAAAGCACATTCCAGCTTTTGAGTCACACAGAGCTCTTCAGCAAGCAGAGAAGAAGAGTTCTGAGCTTAGTCTGTGGCTGAAAATGGCAACGCTACGTGAACAGCAGCCTTACTGCAAAAGCTACAATGCAGGCAAATTTAAGCACTTTTAATTTAAGCGGACCTCTGTAGCATTATTATCATCATGCAACCTTCCAACACTGCAATTCTATGAGGATGATGATGATAATAATAATAATACCTTTATTGTCAATGTACAACCTGTGTAGAATGAAATTAACCGAGCCTCCCTCCCCATACACTCAGTCTAATTGCACTCTGTGTTTGTTGCACAACACACCAACCCTGAAAGTCAGTTGCACTATATTATTTTCCGTTCAGCAGCCTAACAGCCCACGGATAGAAACTGTTTTTTAGCCTGTTGGTACGACTGATTATACTTCTATATCTCCTGCCCGAGGGTAAAAGATAAAGAGGTGTTGGCCGGGGTGTGAATTGTCCCTGAGAATTTTTCTCGCTCTCCTAAGGCAACAATCCCTTGCGATGTCATCTAGTGGGCTCAGGGGACAGCCCATGATATCATGCACTGTGTTCACCACCCTCTGTAAAGACTTTCTGTCCGTGGCTGTCAAGCCAACGTATCACACTGTGATACAACATGAGGGGACACTTTCTATTGTGGACTGGTAGAAGGAGGTCATCAATTGTTGTTTAACATTGTTCTTTCTCAAGACCCTGAGGAAATGGAGTCTCTGTTGGGCCTTCCTAACCACCTGAGTTATGTTGATTTTCCAAGTGAGGTCTTCACTAAGGTAAACTCCCAGGAATTTAAAGGAAGAGACTCTCTTCACACACACAGACACCCCAATATACAATGGGGCTAGTTCCCCTCTCTTCCTCCGAAAGTCCAACACCATCTCCTTTGTCTTGCTAATATTTAGGTGCAAGTTATTCTCTAGGCACCATGTAGATACTTTTTGAACCTCCCCCCTGTACGCTGATTCATCTCCACCTGTAATTAGACCCATTATGGTGGTATCATCTGCAAACTTAATAATTACAGGGGATAGATCAGATGAAATACAGTCATATGTGCACAATGATTACAGGTAGGGACTCAGCACACATCCCTGTGGGGTGCCAGTGCTGAGCTTCAGGGAGGTAGATGTAACAGGGCCAATTCTCACTGTTTGACTGATTCTGTGATTCTATGATTGCCCCCCCTCCCGTCCTTAGGACTGAGAGACCCCCTTGTTCACCACCACATCCCCCAGCCACAGAATCCATTGGGACGTGGTGGACCCTCCTTCAGAACCCAGCCTCCACACTCCCTGGCCCTCCTGACTCCCTCTTCTCTCCCTCCTTCCCTCCAGGAGCGGATCAAAGCCGACGAAGTCATTGCGGCCTTGAACCAGGAGCGCCTCGGACCCAGTGAATCTGGCATCAACCCCAGAGACGAGCTATGAACTAGGCCACGGACACACCATTAAAAAAGAGAGAATATTTATTTAATATTTGTTCTAAATCTTATCAGCAGAACCCTTTATTTTTGTACAAATCCTCGGTATAAATTAACGGACAGGTTTCACAGGGAATGTTGGAGGGGTTCCCAGGCTTTCTCCCCCTCCTCCTCCTCCTGCGCTGGGCTCAGCCCTCAGCTCCCGGAGACACGCTTCTCCTGGCGATCCCCGGAAGTCTCTGCTCAGGACCCCCTGCACTTTTCGGCACCCCACACTCTCAGCCGCAGACCACCTTCAGCACCCCAGACCAGCACCGGCTCTCGCCTTTGAGTGGCATCAGGAAGAAAGAGTCTCTAGACCTCCAAGTTGCCTCCTTTGTCTTGGACACCTTCCTCCTAATCCCAGATTTCGGCAGGGCTCAGTTATGAGTGTCTTCATTGGCTTTCCCAAAAGCCCAAATGCAGTCTCTGCTCTGGCCCACTGGACGTCCCATGAAGATGGAGCTTGGGAGATTCAGGCCAGAGGCCAGAAAGGACTACTTCACACAGCGCAGAGTTAAACCAGGAGGCAGAGATGGCCACCAGCCCATGTGGCTATACGAGAGCAGTCATGTCCAACATGTCAATTGCGATCTACCGGTCAATCGCAGGGTGTCCATGGTTGATCCTGGTTGATTGCATGATCCAGATCGATTGACCCAAAAGAAAAAGGGAAAGAAGTTCAACAGCTGTGGTCAACCCTCCCCTAAAGAAAACTCAAGAGCTTTGGTGAAGGCTCTCCAAAAAAAGCTCAAGAACTTTGGTCAATCCAATAGGTAGATCATGGCCAATTTTTTTAATAGTGTGAGTAGATCACAGTCTATTGGAAGTTGGATGTGCCTGTACTAGAGGATTGGACAAATTCATGGAGGAAGAGAGGGCTTGCCAAGGACTACTAGAGGCATCTGGTTGGCCGCTGTGAGAACAGGATGCTGGACTAAATGGGCCAGTGATCGGATCCAGCAGGCTTTTCTTAAGTCCTCATGGGACCAGCTGGCACTTTGAAGGTGGCCTCAATAGTCTGACTTGGTTTAAGGCAACTGCCAACGAATTTAGAGAGAATCTTCCCTTTTGTTTTTGTTCTTCCAATTCTGGCACTTTGACAGACTGCCTCTTTGTACATAGTCATGTACTGTGAGATCTACAGAGCCCGTGGAATTCATCTGATCCTTTGGTAAAGCCCATGGCATCCTGAAGCAGTGAGTTCCATACGTTAACAATGAGCTGAATGAAGACGTTTCTTCTGATCCTTATGCCAGAATCTCATGGGATGGATAACCTGCAAATTAATATGAAATCTCTCCAGTTTGTAAAATGGAAGAGTTTGAGGCGGGGACCACCTCTGTCTTACCTCTCTTAGTGGATGAGGAATTAATCCCAACCAACAGTTCAGGAGCATCAGATGCTGTCACATAGCTGAAGCTTTTCCTTACACAGGTGGGAGGAAACATAACACTGGAATCCTTACGTAAAATGCACTGAGCCTGTGAAGGAAAGCCATTAGATGGCATTGCTATTCACAAGACTTTCAAAGTGAAACCTCCTACCTGTGGATTTGTGTTAGCACACACACGGTCCTTCGATCTGGTGTCACAAACACACCCAAATTCTTCTGCATAAGCTCCACTTCTGTACAAGCTCCACTGAACATAATAGAGAAGGAGAGAAACTTTTCTTAATCCACTTTCTCCATAATTTCATAAACCTCTATCATTTCACCCCTTACTCGCCTTTTCTCTAAACGAATTAGTCCCAAATGAATTAGTCACTCCACGCCCTTGATCGTTTCGCTGACACTTTTCTGACTGAAGGTTTTCCAGCTCCAACAATTTCCTTTTTAAGGTGAGCTGAATGAAATGAACGAGAGCTCTTGCACACCCCATGAAGCTGAACCTTCGGAAGATTCGGGGCAGACAGAAGAAAGCGCTTCTCCCTGCAGCCCGGAGTTAAACTATGGAACTCACAAAGAACATAAGAACTGCCTGCCAGTGGCCCTTCTAGTCCAGCTTCCTGTTCTCACTGCGGCCAACCAGAAATCTGCAAACAGGACCTGATCACAAGAGCAGCCCTCCTGTGGTTTCCTGCAACCGGGATTCAGAAGTTAGTAGCTACTGATGGCCCTCACCTCCAAGAGGAGGCAGAGATGGACACCAACCTGGATGGCTTTAGAAGAGGTTTGGACAAATTCAGGGAGGAGGAGGCTGAGTCCTGTTTTAGGGTTTCCCATTGGGCATCTGGTCTGCCACTGTGAGAACAGGATGCCAGAGTAGGTGGGCCATGGGCCTGATCCAGCAGGTTGCTTCTACTGTTCTCCAGAAAGCCCACAGTTCAGTGGTGAGAGCCTCTGCCTTGCATTGCAGAAGGTCTGTTCCTGGTGATGTCCAGGAGGCTGGGAACGAGTCCTTCCTGAAACACGGAAGAGTCTTTCCCAGTCAGGGTATCCAGTACTGAGCTAGCTGGATGAACGACCCGACTCAGTAGAAGGCAGCTTTCGATGGGAAGCCTCTACAAGAGGGCAGGATGGAGTAGAATTGTGGTTCTCAAGCTGTCTCTTTGTGTCCCCCTCTGCTGGCCATATTTGCATCCCTGCACCCAGCAGCTCAGGTAGCTTCCTCATCATGTGGCTGAGATGGTCTTTCCAACCTTCAGTTCCTTGTCATTTTCTCGGCTGGTGGGTCTTGGCGTCGCTGGTGTAAACAGCCCTCAGGCCCTCATTCCCCTTTCCTTAAAACATGCACACAACCTGGCAACCCATTTGCACCCACCCAGCCCTCTGGCTGCTCTATGCCGCAGAGGTAGCCAGAGTCCTGCAGAGATGCTGAGGAGCGTTTGATGTTCATCCCCAGAGCTGTGTCTAAGCCCAGGAGGAATAAACAAAATTCAGAAAACATACCTACGTGTCCCCTCTGTTTTTATTGTCTCTTCTTAGTTCTTGGCAGAGAGAGAGAGAGGCAGGTGAGCCCGTCGTGGGGGCACGACCACCTTTCCTAGCCTTGAGTGAAGTGAGCAACGGTGAACTGTATTGAAGGGCGTTGTGTCGCTATTCTGTCCGCAGTCAGCAGGTGGCGCTATTGGTGCACACAGTGCACCTGTAAGGAATACTGCAGATAGAAGGAATGTGTTGTGGCGGCGGGGTGTGTGTGTGTGTGCCTCGGAGGACCATGAGCAGTTGTGCAGGTACGCACTCTGCTTAATCGAGCCCCAAGGATGGAAAACGCCCTCCCGGCCCACAGAGCTCCGGGGTGAGGAAAGGAGCCTTCGCTGTGAGGTTGGGAACTCTGCCGAACCGTCTGCCACACCTCGAGAGGATGAAAGATTTATTTACAACACAGCGCATTGAGTCTAAAGTCAACGGATTATTAAATCTGTCCCTGGGAGGTAAGCCACGGAGCGCTGCAGGAATCTAGCTGATCCCAAATGCAGCTCCACCCTGGGCTGAGCGGGGCAGGGCGGGACCCGGACTGGTTTGGTAACTTCGTTGCACAGCTACTGTGTGGATGATGGAGGGGGAAAAACACACCACAATGTTTTTGGGAGTTTGGGAACAAAATGGCTGAGTTTACAGGTGAGAGGGCAACCTGTTGCCACTTGGCTATTGAATTCAGATCTGGGGAAATCACTGATGCAACTACATGGGCCATGGGCCTGATCCAGCAGGGCTTGTCTAATGCTTTTTCAAGATCTTTGCCCTCCCTCCTGCTTTGCCAACTTATCTCCTGGTTTTCCTTCAGTTGCCCCTTCAAAAACCTACATTAGCAAAATAATGATCATAATAATTTTCTTATGGCCAGTGAAACGTTTTGCAAGATAGCTTTGCTCTTCCGCCAGCTAATTAAGCTAAATCCGGCAGAACCCGAGAACACAAAACCGTAGCTTTGCTCAAAATGACGATTGGCTTTGCCAAACCTGAGCTACCAAACGGCTCACATCTTGGCCTTGCAACCAGCTGCAACTTTACGCAGCCTGTTGCAGCTTCGCATCTCAAAGGCCACGTTCTGAGCTCTTCCAAAAAAATGTTAGCAGACCTAGTCCTTTGCTTGAAAATTCATGATGTCTTGCTTAACCCAAACAGAAGCTGTTTCTGTGGTGGGACCATGAATGATGAGGTGACCCCGTATATATATGGAGGTGGGAGGAGATGAGCAGCAGACACAGCCAAGGGAAACGGGTTTGCTCACTTCCTCAAGAAGTGCTTGTATTTCCAGCCTGACCAGGAACTATTTCTCCTGTGAAATCTCCCTCCACCATCTCCAGCTTCCTCGCCCCCGGTAGCCTCGAGAGGTGGGCCAAATCCTCACGCAATGTGAAAAGCCAGAACCGCCGAGCTATTCCAAAGCTCACATCTTAAACCCGGCTGCTCCTCGGCCTCTCCTGTCCAATCCCTTGGGTGGGAAATGGAGCCTCCTCGGTGGTGGCACCAGGCTGGATTCCACCGGTCCTGCCATCTTGAAGCACAAAGCAATCCATTGCTCCTCTGCCCTGCCCCAAGGGATTCTGTGGCTGGGTGACATGGGGGTAAACAAGGGGGTATCTCAGTCTTAAGGACTAGGGACAATTGAAGAATCACAGAATAATAGACTTTTAGAATGGGGAGGGACCATACCAGCTGCACTGGCTCCCAGTGGAGTACAGGATCAGGTTTAAGGTGCTGGTTTTAACCTTTAAAGCCCTATACGGCCCACAACCCTCGTACCTACAGGACCGCCTCTCCTGGTATGTCCAACGGAGGACCTTACGGTCCACAAATAAAAACATCTTGGCGATCCTGGGCCACAGGGAGGTTAGGCTGGCCTCAACCAGAGCCAGGGCTTTTTCGGCTGTGGCCCCGATCTGGTGGAGCGCTCTGTCACAGAAGACTAGGGCCCTGCAGGACTTGACATCTTTCCGCAGGGCCTGCAAGACGGAGCTGTTCCACCAGGCCAAGGCACAGTCTGACCCCCTCCTTTGGCAAATCTTCACAGAACTCTAGCCCAATGGTTGCCATTAATCTGATTTGAACTGATTTTATAATGAA